ATAAAGGCACAAAGCAGCCCTTTCATTCCCTTAATAATTACTTATGTTTCCTTTGTGTAGTCCCTAAATGCCACGGGGGAGGTAGCTGAGTCCAGACACAAGAACCAGCAACAGACAAGGCACTCTTGTTAGATGCTAGGACAATTGGCTATTTGTGTCTAAAATAATATTTATGTGAAATGTATTTCGAGAGTTCTACAGTTTGATTTCAATAACACATATTTCAAAGACAAAGAAATGCAATGACTTTTGTTATACTGTTTTTTTTGCATTAATAAAAATGGATTTTTTCTCCAGCTTTAATGCACACGATACTTGCAGCATTGCAACCATGGTGAGTGGAATCATATAGAAGTAAATTAAAACTCAGACCTTATTCAGAATGCTCAATCTCAGTGCCTGATTTCCTTACAGCCTTAATCAAAGATTTGGGTTACTTCTCATGACCTTGACTCCCTAAATTATAAATTTCATGTCTCCAACACATAAGAAGTTGCTAGCAGTTGACCCAGCAACCCCAGGGGAGAAAAATATTTACTATCCTGAGTTCAACAACCATCTGAGGATTAATCATCTCTCTAGAGAAGTGGGTGTAGGCAGTAGCCCCTTGCAGGCTCAGCCGTGTTCTTCCACACATCATATATTAATGGCAGTGAAATGAATTGATCTGTACAGTACACACATTTGGGGACAGTAGGAACACACTGAGTCAGTCAAAGGGCCTAAAGTTTTTGCATTTTTAAAATGCCACATTTTTGTATTGTTCTTTTTATTGTAGGGAAAAAGGAGACTTTGTAATTCTGTGCACATTCTCCAAATACTACAGCACAAGCAAATCTATTGAGGTATTTGGATTTTCTTTACAAATTCATGACGATTACGAAAAGCCTGAATTTTATTCCTCCAAAGATCATTGTATTTTAGACAAACTGAAATGTTAGTTAACTTAGATTCCAGTATCTGTCAGCCTGGAGATCTTTAGGATGTCTGAAACCTGAACTCAGGGCCTGCCCATTGATAGCATTCGTGTTGTGATTTCTTCTTTTCCTGGAGACTGTCTTGTTTCTTTTCTTTTATGTGTCCTTGGTGCTAGGCTCCATGCCAATGCCCATTTGAGGGAAGAAAAAGAGATGTGAACTAAGGAAAGATGACTTTTGGGGATAGGGGGATATGACAGCCTTTGCTCTCACCCTGTGGGCCAGGCTATAGGGTTATCTATTCTGACAGGTTAGGGAAGCTGCCACCACAGTTTGTAAGCATATGTTCCTATTGTACACAATTCCTGACTTTGGTTTTGAGATGGGGTCCTAAATCTCTGGGACTTTGGTGATCCTCCTAACTCAGCCTCTCTGCAGGAATTAGAATCACAGGCAAGCGAGGGAGGAGCAGCCTTACTAGGCCACAGAGGAGGACATTGCAGCCTGATGAGACCTGATAAACTAAGGTCATATGGAAGGAGAGGAGGACCTCACCTATCAGTGGACTTAGAGAGGGGCAGGGGGGAGATGAGGGAGGGAGGGTGGGATTGGGAGGGAATGTGGGAGGGGGCTACAGCTGGGATACAAAGTTAATAAACTGTAATTAACATAAAAATTAAAATTTAATTAAAGAAACTAAAAAATAAAAAAGAATCACAGGCAGGAAATAACTCAAGAAGCAGCTACATGAGCTAAATTCTATTTCAACGAAACACTGCCTCTTAAGACTCTAAATTTACCATTATGCTTAATGCAACCTAAAATAAAATAGAATTAATCTTGCACATAATATAAAGTGTTTGAAATTTATTTTCATTTGTTTTAATATATGTCTTAAAAATCCAACAAACAGTTGTAATTATCATAATTACCAAGATTTGCCATTATTCTTAATCCATTAAAACCCAAATCTTATGAACTATAATGGGATGATTTGGTGAGAATACATCTGTTTTCCCCATTCTATTAGGAAATCTCAGTTTAGTGTATTGACAATTTGTCCTTTCATTGGATTAGGGGTGTATTACTTCCTGGGCATGAATGATACAAAATACAAATTTCTGCATGCAAAAGCAACCAAAGATCAAGGCTCGAGGTAAAATGCGGGCTGATGTATTCAGCTGAGAAATTTCCCTAAGTAGTAATAATACACTAGAAAATGAAAACTACCTGAATAAGTTGATCAAGAGCTTGTAGACTATGTTGTGGAGAAACCTCCAGATGGCTGAACAGATCTTGGTGCTCTCTTCTAAGTCACAAGGACCACAGAGAGACTAAAGTCCAGGAAGAGGCATAGAGCAAACTACTAGCATTAATAAAAGTCTGTGAACCAAACATGTAAATAGATTCCTGGTGAAATACAATAATACTCCCAGGGATAAGACAAAAACAAAAACAAACAAAACAAAACAAAAAACAATCCAAAAATTGGCAATTCATATATTATTTGGTAAATTAAAGCACAGATTCCATGGAAACGTATGGAGCAAATTTGATTATTTTGGGTTGTGATGCCATGGTGGGCAGAGGCAGGTAAGCTGCTAAACCTACTGTATGGAAAAAGCAATGTCCCCTTTTAAAGAAGACTGCTTTTCTCCATCATCCAAAGTTATGAGGGGGAGGAGCTGAATCAAATCCACTGGCCTGGAGTAAGCTTAGTGTGCCCATTCAACCATACAGTATTGCTGTTCTTCACCCCACGTTCCAAAGAGATTCTGGAGGGCACCAGAGCCACAAAGAAACCATTGGCACGGCCAGTGTTCCAGGGCTGAATAATTAGCACAGCAGAACAGGGCAAAGACAGATAGCCACAGGTGTTCCAAGACTGATAACTGATGGAATGAGAGACCATACCCCAAGAGCTGAGCCAGGCAGGCCAGGAATAGTGGACATGCAGCTAGAGGATGGAGAAGAGAGAATAAGGTTCTCATGAGTGATGAGGATGGTATGGGGGTGGGGATGGGGTCGGAGTGGGAGTGGGACTTAAGTCTGAGGTTCACAAAATCTAAACCCAAATCCACATTTACAGGCACAAACTCTGTGACCAGTGTCAACTTAAATCCTTATCTGCTTACTGGTACAACTTACTGGTATCTGCTTACTGGTACAACTACAAGACTCAGAAAATAATAATAATAATAATAATAATAATAATAATAATAATAATAATAATAATAATAAAAGAAGTAAGAGAAAGTCACCAAAAGCAAAGTGAAAAGAAAGGGGAAAAGGAAAAGGGCACCTGAAGGGAAGAGAAAGTGTGGCCAGGTTACCAGCCAGTGCCCAGGCCTTCTGAAGGCAGCTTCGTGTTAAAGCTGAAGTCCTGGAAAGAAGGTCCAGTGTGTCCACCACTGAGCAGTGGGGCTTGCTATGTCACTATCACTATCCCCTTCCCATGTAATCTGCCTACCTCAGCTTACTGCTCTGGGTAGGGGCTTTTATGGAATCCTATAGGAGCTCTAGGAATAGGTACCCAGCTCCTGGAGATTGCAACCTTCTCTAGGAGGGGAAATAATGGCATACAAGACTCAGGAAGCCCAGGGAACCTTCAAGGTTCATGACCCCATATCCGGAGTTTTAGGAGATACTCATTTGTTCATGTCTCCTCAGGAAAAGTAACACAAGAGAATGGTATGTGTTCTGAACACATGGCTGGTAAAAATAAATATGAGTTCTATGACTCATCCATTCTGTTGAGTCTCAGCATTGCACAGAAGCCACGGCCATGTAGAAGTCATGTCTCCAAGCATTGTGACATATTTTATGAAACTCCCTAAGCAAGTTTAGAGAGTTCTCTGCTATGTTTTTATTTATACCATTATACACTCATTTACTTGGGAGTATTTCATATTCTGGTTCTTTGTAACCTGGAGCTACCAGTATAGCTTGGTAAATTTTTAATGATTTAGCTCAGAGGTATTTTTGATGATTAAATATCTTTTGGTAAACAATGCCCATCAATTTCTTTCCTCTACTCCTTCCCCCTTCTCTTCTCCTTCTTTTTCCTCATTTTTTTCTTTCACCCTTTCCTCCCTCTCTATGTCCATGTATTTTACCTTGGCTAAGCTGATGATTTATTACCACCTCTTTTCCTTCTACTCCCCTGAGAGCTGCATCATTACCCAATCCTCAGATCCAAGCACTACAAGCTAGGGATAAGAACAAACCATCATACTCATTGTCAACATACAGAAGAGGGCCACCTGATACTGTTCACTCCATTGGCTGTGCTGTTCCACAGGCTCCTGGTCTGAGGCCAGCTCAGCAGGGATGGCCTTCTCTGCCCCTCTACCTGTACTCACGTTTCCCCACAAACCAAAGCACAGTCAGAATTGGAAAGGCAGAGTCACTGACAGAACAAGGGGCACTGAGCCTGTGGTGGCACTGCAGGGTAATATCGTCAGGGAACAAAGGACGCTTTTCCTGAAGACAGAGCTCCTGAAAGATAAAGCTCCAGTGTGTGCCACCAAACCGCAGTTGTGTGAGAGGTCTGTGTGTGAGCAGTAGGTGCACCCCATCCTCAACTCCCCATGCTCTTTGTGTGAGAAGTTGAGAACCTAGGTTCCAGCACTCACAGACAAAGAACAGAGCACAAGGATATGCACACAAGTTTGATGCAGTGATTGTTGGGTAAGTGTTGAATATCTGTTTAGTATGTATAAGGCCCTGAGTTGTGCCCCTGCAAACCACAAGATAATACAACTATTTAACTACTACTGCAAAATACAGAAGAGGCAAATTAAATTCTATTTTAAATCGTTTTCCTACATTTTTCTAACACTGTCATAGCTGGTTTATTTTAAATCTTATAGAATGATTCAAAGTACAAATAAGGTGTTAGCTTGCTTTCTGACCCTCCATGAAAGACTGTTTGCTGTGACTCATTTCATTGAATGTTAAAACATGGAGCGTTTACTCTGTACATACTTATCACTTTGCAGGGAAGCCACTACCAGGAATCAAATGCTGTATGCACAATTCTGAGCACAGGTGGGATATCACACACTGCTCTGCTCTCCTTACCTTTGATTTGCCCTTGCTGTAACAGGCCTTCTTGGTAGCTTCATCACACTCCCACTCCACAGCCTGCAAAGAGAACAAATACACCATTAGGAATTTGAGGGAAAAGGGGACATAAGAGGGTCCCGGAACCCCTGCTCGGATGTAGCCCGTGGTAGCTCAGTAACCAATTGGTTTCCCATAGTAAGGGGAACAAGGACTATTTCTAACAGGAACTCAGTGGCTGGCTCTTTGACCTCTCCTCCCCCCCAAGGGAGGAGCAGTCCTGTTAGGCCACAAAGGAGGACTTTGCAGACCTGATAAAACAGGGTCAGATGAATGGGGAGGAGGTCCTCCCCTATCAGTGGACTTGGAAAGGGGCAGGGTGGAGATGAGGGAGGGAGGGTGGGATTGGGAGTGAATGAGGGAGCAGGATACAGCTGGGATACAGAGTTAATAAAATGTAACTAACAAGAAAAAAATTTTTAAAAAAATCATATCAATGCACCTTTGTGCCAGTACCTGCTTAGGGATAAAATTAATACCAAATATAGGCTATCAAGTCACTGGCTCACAGGTGGCTTTAAAATGAAGACATTGAAAACACTTGCCCTTTAAGAAGCTGCTCCACAGTCCAAACAGCAGGACATTTAGATGCAGTCACTGATCAGCAAGTTTATTACTTCCGGGAAATCAGGAAACCATGAAACTGGGGATTCTGAAGCATTGAAACCCAGGGGGATTATTGCCCAGCGTGTCATACATCAACAATTGTGGATAACGCCATGGATGACTCTGCATAGTCTAGCTACCACAATGTTTGTGAACACGCCAGCCAGGGCATGATTGGCTCAGGGACAGAGCTCTGTGACTGTTTTCCATCTCCACACTGCTACTAGCTCTTTTAAGAGCCATGATGCTTAATATATTTTACAGAGTTTTTAAGTTGAACCCATGCTGACGAAGTCGGCACAAAGAGCCTGTGCTGGCTAAGGAGATAGTGCCGGTTTCACAGACAGGGTGACTTTCAAGTTAAATTTGGGAGTTATTTAGTACCAGTTTAAACACTGAATTATTGTTCTTCTCTACGGTTTTGTGGTGTGTGGACTTTTATAAGGGAAGTATTTCTCCTGTTTTTTTCATGTCTTCTTGTTGTATTTTTTTCCTAACTATTAAAATTAGACTTCTGAGGGTTCAGAATTAGGGGCCAGTGAAGTTATTATCAGGAAAACACGTGAGGAGCAATCTTGTCAGGGCAGAAAAATGCCAAAAGAGAAACACAACTCAACCCGGTATAAACCAAAGTAAGATAATCTGCAGGAAAATACCAGCCTCCCCCAACTGCCTGGAAGAATTACTTCCCAATTCTCCAAAACCTAGCAGAATATAAGTCGGGCTGTTGTTGCCAACACTGGTGCATAACAAAGGCAGTCATGATAACTGTGTGGGATGGCTTATCCCTCTCAACAAACATGAGGCCATGTGAAAGCAGTCCACAGAGAACCATCTTGGTGTTCCCAAACGGGAGCAGAGTCATGTCTGTTTATTGCGATCCCAAGGAATCAAGAATGCAGTCAATATTGACCTCTGATAAGACAGTGTGTTCGTTCTGCAATCCTTTAGTGGGGGCATCGAAGGTGCGGTTAACCAGTGTCTGATGCAAAAACCGCCTTGGATTCCATCCAGGGTGGCAAACATTTCCATGAACAGTGAAGAGACCACCACAGAGGTAGGAGTGTCCACACACAGTGACATGCAGATTAAAAAAATAAAAATAAACAGGTAAATTTGTCTGACCTTTAATTATATCTGTTTATATTAAAGAAAACTCCCTGTTGCATCTTTGCTCTTATTTAAACATAAAATAGAATCAATAAGCTGATACATTTCTTCAGCAACAAATAACTCATTACATATTTAAGAACTCATTACATGTTTAAGCTTATGTTATTAAAGGGGTTGATGTCATTTTACAGAAAGAGGGGTTCAAGTTACATAGCTGTGAACACATCTGTGTGGTGAACACATCAGCTCAGGAGGTGCTCTCAGTGGCTCTTGTTGACCTGGTGATATGGTTACACAGTGAAATGTTGGGGAATAGAGAGCCAGCTATGTTAGTAAAGTGCTTCGTGTGAGAGCATGAGGGTCTGTGTGTCAGCACTGTTTCAAAAAGCCAGGCGTGATGGCCCATGCTATCAATCTCAATTCTGAGGAAGTAGAGATGGGGGGAGGGAATTCTGTAGCTTGCTGACCAGGGAATCTAGCCTCATCAGTGAGTTTCAGGCAAGTGAGAAAATTTTAAAAAAGAAAGAAGACCCAGCAAGGTAGGCGGCACCAAAGATGATACCTAAGGTTTCTTCCTCTCCCTCTCCCTGCTATCTTTCTCTCTCACACACACACATTAGCATATATCTCATGTATGTGCACACACAGAGACACTAAAGACTTAAATGCTGATTTATGTCAGACAGGAAGGATCATGAGTTTGAAGCCTGCCTGGGCTGGAGACGAATTACACTTAGCCTGGCTGACCTAGTGGGACCATAAAACAGAGCCAAGGATGGAGCCCTTGCCTATCAAGTGGAAGACCTGAGAATAATACAAACAACAAAAAAGGAAAATATTAATAGTCTCTTGAATAAACATAAGAGGTCTGGAGAGCAGGGTGAGCCCCGGGATAAGGGGGGAATATTAATCAAGTGCAATCATTGTTGTTAGATCCCACTGCTGCTGCTGGTAAACAAACAGCTTCCCAATTCTACCCTGTGCTCAAGTAGCCTTCACATTTCCAAGATAAATATTGGCCAAGGTCCAGGAGTGAAAAGAAAAAGCAAAAAAGACTATGAGCTTTCATAAATATTTCATTACTTTGTCTAGAACTCTGAAAAACAGTAACTGCTCACACGAGTTCATTAGACCAATATGAAAACAGGACTTTTCTCTTATTTGAAGTAGAGAGGGGCAGCTACTGGAGGCATTTCCTTTCTATCATCACCATGTCAACAATACTCAAATCCAGAATTAATTACAAACCATGAATGTTTAGCTTTTCAGTGGCCTCACATTATTCATGGAGAGAGGGAGAAGGAAATTATATACCAATGGTGGGAATTTACCAAGAGAAGATAGTAAGGAACACATGTAGTTAGGTATTGCAGAACTGAATAAAAAATGAGGTTGGAAAAAGAGACTTTTCTAGATTTACAAGAAAATTAAGAGTTCTGGATTCATCTCACATCATTTATATTTTCATTCACCAAACTAGACTTTGCCTTGTGGGTCTTCTGGCAACTATGGAAACCATGTTTCCAGGGAAGAAAACCACAGGGGTTAATGGAATTAGCTTGCTTTAGGTTTTACTTCTCAAAAATTCCTGCACTTTTGTTCAAGCTCAGCTTCCTTTTGAGCTCCTTTATAATACCTTCCATTGTAAGGACCCAACCTTGGAGATGAAAGACCTTTGACTCAAACTACATTCTGCTCTCACTGAAACTGGTTATTTGTACATGTACCTTTATTTTGGAGCAAAGCCCACAATTGACATAGGAAGTGCTCTATAGATTGTCTTCACATTTACTTTAGCTACTTTTATACCCACTCAAACCTATTTTTGTGGCAGCAAAACAAGTGCTAAGGCATTGCACATTGCTAAGACTGAGTATAACTCAGTCTTATACCATAAATTTTTTTAAAAAAATAATCTTTACTTTTTGTTGCTTTTGCCTTTTCTACTACAGGAGAGAAAAGAATGATGAATACTCTATTATTCAACATTCAATGTTCATTAAACATGTCAGAAACAAACACAAAACAATAATAGTGATTACTCGGATACTCAGTGAATCAATGATTTTGAAGAACTACATTTATAAGAACTGAGGATTCCTACATGTAGTCCATTTTTCTATAAAAACATATACATATCTTCCGTGATATTAAATAGATTTTAAAGGGTTTGCTGTAGCTCCTTACATGAAGTCTCTTTTTCATTTATTATTTATTAAATATCTGCTAAGTAGAATACATTCTGCTAGAAAATGTTTGATGGCATTAATTTGAAATGTTTCAAGTTAATTTTGAAAGAAAATTACTTTGAATTTTGAAATAGAAGAGTTTCCTGCAAAGTTGATTGGAGCACAAAGTAGCACACACACCCTTTTCCTGGTACAGTAGTGTCATGGTGGGACATCTCAAGTCCAGTGACATTCTCAATTATTGGCAAGTCACAGTGCTGCAGTCACATCAATAGAGAGGCATTCTAACAGCAGAACACTGCTGTTAGAACTACAGAAACCAGGCACGTAAGGAACTTTCAATTGTTTCATGATAGACTACATGCCTCATCATTCTGCTCAGGGACACAATCCAGTCATGAAAAATGGAGATGTGACTCAAGAGTAAGTCAGATGTTGCAAAGAAAAAGATTGGCAATTTTTATGTACTTGTTCCATACATATAAATCTACAGTTCTCAGAAGTATATAAACAAAGCTGTGTATTATCACATTCCACAGCAAGAGAAGTTAATTAGATGGGGACTAGCAGTGGTGGATGCTTTTCATAACAATGAAGAGAACAACATTCCAGGCAGATGGGCCACTGCTCTTTCAGCAGATGGCTCTGCTAATTAGATACTGGCAAAAGATAACATTAAAAAAAACTAGTTTAATTACACAGCACCAAAAATTAACAACCACCTGAGGGCTTTTGTGTTTTTTGTTGTTGTTGTTTTTCTTTTTTCATATGTTTGCATTCATATTATGTCATGTATTTCTGTGACACACTGGGGACGTTACATTGTCACCACATTACAAACAAATTATCAGGAAGTGTGAGGGCATTTCTTTGTTCAAAGCACGCAAAACTGAAACGAAACTTGAAACAAATGCGCATTTCGTGGTGTGTGAGTAGATCATCAGTCGGGCCAACATTGAATAAGGCTGTCTTCACTGCTTACCTTTATCTGCCATTCCTGTCTGCTCCAGGATGACATAAATCTCGCTGTGCAGAGGTAAAATGTTTCAGTCACTTTGGGAGAGCTGTCCAGTGCTCATCATTATCTTCATGTCTTATGTTTGGTTTTTTCAT